ACACTGAGCAGCCACTGGCTAGGAAGTAAGCTCCCAAGCATCTCTGCTGTCTGCATATGTAGACAGTACCCAAGGGCAGCCAGCCAAGGAGAGTCAGAGGTGCCGGCCATTGGAAGCAAAAGCCCATATCAGAGCTGATGGAGGGGCACACAGATACGGTAAGGGCATCCCTGAGCCTCAGGGAGGAGCAGACAGTGTCAGCTACGCTCCTTAGTGTAGTGGGCCCCCTTGCTACCCAGGCATCTCCCGGCCACTGGGTGGCGAATCACTGGGGTGCAAAGACCCTTCTTAGTCATCCTTATGTCCCTAAGGCAGTCATTTCAACCTCTTCCACCTCATGGCACACATAAACTAATTACTAAAATTCTTCAGCGCACCAAATATATATATATTTTTGCCAATATGACCAAAAAAAAAAATAGGTACAATTTTTATTCATTCACACCAGATGGTTATTATTGTGTTGCCTGTTGTCATTTTTTTTTTTTTTATTTGACAATCTAAGGGAAAAGAGGTCAGTGCCCCTGACTAAATAGTCAGGGATTGCATGTTTTAAAAATTCCTTCGGCACATCGGTTGAAAATCGCTGCCCTAAGGCATGGAAGATATGTATCACTTTTGCACCTGAAAAGTGCTTAAATAGCATTTGTTGATACAAGTCGAATGCTCCTTTTCTAGGTCTAGTGTGACGTTTTGCTACTTCCGGTCATACTGCTGAGATTTTATTCCCCAGCTGGTTCTGGTTCAATAATTACAGATACGGCGCCTGGGCTTTGAAACCCGAAGGCTCAACTTTTCACCTCACACCTTTCTTCCTGGGGCAACAACTTGCCCCCCACACCTCTCTCCCGAAATCCCAAGGCAGGCTGCTCGCCCTGCTCAGGCACCACTGCCAACCCCAGAAACGTTTCTGAAAGATCACAGTCAGCATCATTGCCAAGAGAAGAAGTTCTTGGCACACGGAGAACCTGGTTCAATATGATATGCCAGATGGTGATTTCAACTTCAGCTGAATTCCTGCTGGAAAAAAAAGTGTTTGAACTGCAGATGAGAAAAGCTTCTATGACAAATTTCCAAGTGTTAGAAAGCTTCAGAGGGAAATGGCAAGTGTGGATACACCCCCACCCCCAACCACATGCACACGTGTCGCAGAGCGACTACCTGCATCTGGTAGCTAAGATTCCCACAAAGACGCCTTTGCTCTTTAAGAAGACTCTGGTCCTGATTCGATTTGTACTGATATTAAAGTGTATTCACCAAATGCAGTGAAAGCAAATGCTATTTAATTATGTGCGGTGTTTTTTTCGAAGCCTGTGTCCCTTCGTATCTACTCTGAGCTTTTCTGGTACCTAGAGGTAACTCTCTTTCCTCTTCACCATTAACTCCATTTTTGGGCCAATTACGATGCAGTGTGTCTCCCTCCCTAAATACTTTCAAGTTCCAGGGAATATATGTAGGGATATATGTAAAGTATACGTTGGCGGTGGTTGGCCTGGATGCCCTGGGGCCCCTGACTTACTGGTGCAAACTCTGAGATATAGTCTAGGCCTCAGAGGTCCGCTCGAGTTTCGGAAGAGGCTGGGCCTTGGTCTGAAATTGCACCCTTGCTGACTCCCCTGCGTTCTCTGTCTTGCTTCCCCCTCCTGTTCCTCCACCACACCCCCTCGCAGGTTTCTCCTGGGAGCATCTCTTGAATAAAACTCTGGCACACAGATCCTCATCTCAGGGTCTGCTTGTGGGAACTGAACTAAAATTCTGGATGATGGAAAAGTCAAGGTATGTTATGCTAATAGAGAGAAGGGTCATTGTTTCTGGAGCGTGGAGTGTATGTAAACTACTTCATCAATCAAGATCTCAAAAGGAACTAGTGGATAAACTCAAATTGGGTATTTGGAGAATAGTTAACAAAGGGTCTAATTACACAATGGTGGGCCGGGTGCAGAGGAACAAGCATAGTACCTGCCTGGAAGCTGGTGTCAGGGGGTTCATTAGCAATCCCAGGCCTCAATGGCAAGAGGAAAGCTGGTGACAGAGTTGTGGAGAGGGCTGTGTGACAGAGCTGTAATCTTTAGGGATGCAACCAGCCTACACAGACCCTATAGAGAGCAAGCTGGATGAATAAATGCCCCAACCTCATGCTCCTTCCAATCTTTTGCCAGTGGCCTCATCAGCTGGGCCTATGGGATGCCTAGAGCCCTAATGCAGTGCATCTGGGTTATCTAGGTTGGCCTCTTAGTGCATAGAGCAGGTGGAGGAGAGCAGAGAGAACAAACAAGCTACTGAGCACATCTACCTAATCTATCTGTCTATCTATCTATCTATCTATCTATCTATCTATCTATCTATCTCCCCCCCCCCCCCCCGCCTACACACAGACACACACAGTTTGATCTGCTGTTGACTTTGACCTGTGACCAGTGACACATAAATAGGCACTGATTTTTCTCTCTGCATTCCCCTTTTATCTTGTTTGTCCTTAGGGGACCCAGAAATCAGCTGCATGATGTGGGGGAAGAGACCTCAATCATCAAGACTGGACCAAATATTTTTGTGTTAAAGCCTGAGTATGGTATCTGGGCATCTCAGCCTTAGCCCCCAACCCCCAGCCTCTGGAGTGGCATTTAGCATGGATTGAAATCAGACTCACAGAGCTCACTGCCACAAGATTTGCCATCACTTTGACCACAGTGATTCTGGTGCAAAGAGGCCTAAATTATATCCTTCGAGAACCATGCCCATTCTCTCCCAATTGAAAACAAAATGCAAACCAAAGGTTTATGTTGCCTTTTGAAATGATGTATGTATTGCTTTCTCATCAATCCAGGTGCAAAGATGTCCTCGTTATTCAGTTTGCTCCCAAACGTCTTCATTACTGGAAGCCACACTCTTTCTATCAGTCTCATTTTCTGTTTGAAATGGCCACTTCTCTGAATTCAGCTTTGGCTTGGTTCAGAAAGTGTGCCAGTGGAAGACAAAAAGTCACTCAGTTATTTCAAGGCCTTGAAATTAACATGGAAAACAACAAGGGTCCTCAGGATGCCTGCAGGAGCTGATGCGGGTGGGACGGAGGATGGGAGATGGAAAAGCACCACTCCCACAGGCCCCTGGAGGGCCCGCTTCGCACTGCCTTCCTGTCCTCCAGCTTCTCTCTGCTGGGTGTGCCGCAGACGCAGCTACAGCTGAGGAGAAACAGGTAGGCTGTGGGGCAGGTGTTAACAATGGCTTACAGCAGCGGTTCTCAACCTGTGGGTCGCGACTCCTTGGGGGGTCGAACAACCCTTTCACAGGGGTCGCCTAAGACCATCGGAAAACACATATATAATTACATATTGTTTTTGTGACTAATCACTGTGCTTTGATTATGTTCAATTTGTAGCAATGAAAATACATCCTGCATATCAGATATTTACATTACGATTCATAACAGTAGCAAAATTACAGTTATGAAGTAGCAACGAAAATAATTTTATGGTTGGAGATCACCACAACATGAGGAACTGTATTAAAGGGTCGCGGCATTAGGAAGGTTGAGAACCACTGGCTTACAGGGTTGTCATTTCTAAGTATTAAAATAGTATACATTGGGCTATTTTCTTCTGAAAATTTATTTATTAAAACACTTTGGGAATCCAGAGGCCCCATTTAGAGGAAGGTGATTTTAAACATATTTTTAAACACTGTGTTGCATTCCGAGACAGCTGTTTGCATCACCCATGAACCCTCACAGGAGGCGAGGGCTGGGGTGTATGGGCCCAGCCTACAGGTCTGTCGCAATCGCTGTATGATCATGTTGAGAAAGGCACCAAACCCTCCTCACCAGGTTCCTTGTAACAAGGGAGTGGGGGAGATGAAGCTGGCAGCCTCCTCCTGTTCTAACATTGCACTGTCTGATTAGTGCCACTGGCCACATGTGGCTGGTCTGAATGGAGACCTGCAGTAAGTGCACAATACACACCAGATTTCAAAGGCTTCATACAAATGATAATGCAAATGATCTCATTAGTGCTTTCTACTTTGATTACACGTTGAAATGACACTATTTTGGGGTATATTGGGTTAAATAAAATATACAAATTTTACTTTTACTTTTTGAAAGGTAGCTACTAGAAATTTTTGAATTACACATGTGCCTCACACTATATTTCTATTGGACAGGACTTTTATTTACTTATTTATTTACTTATCTATCTTAAGAACTATTTTAACATATATACTTCTGGGTTCCCATTTCCTCTGTGTGTACATCAAATTCTAGAAAACTTAAAGTAATCTTGTTTGTGGAAAAAATGTTACAGCATTTTCTAGTCAAAGTCTTTTTTATTTTATTTTTTTGGTTAATCCTTACCTGAGGATAATTTTTTTCCATTCATTTTTAGAGAGAGTGAAAGGGAGGTGGAGAGACAGAGAAACTGATGTGAGAGAGACACATCGATTGTTTGCCTCTTGCATGCACCCCTCGTGCCCTTGACCAGAATCAAACCCTTCAGTCCCAGGGCCACAGCCAACACTGAGTCTATCCACTGAGCCAAAGGTCTTTTTCTTTCTTTCTTTCTTTTGTTCTTTCTTTCTTTCTTTCTTTCTTTCTTTCTTTCTTTCTTTCTTTCTTTTTTTTTACAAAAAGGCGAAGATTTCATGTCAAGTTGGCTAAGAGTTTACTAAGAGAATGTGAGGGGAAGAAACCAATGTTTCTTAAACTAGAATTTCATTTCCTTCTACTTCGAACGAAGCTACGTTGTCTATCTTCAGGCACTACAGTCTTTAGAACAGCAGGACACATCCAGATGCCATGGAAAAGGATAGTTCCAAAATGATGACCAGCCACCCCCATCCCCACACACATGCATGCAACATCTCTTCTCCATGTGAGTGCCACGTATTTGGAAAGCACCTAAATGCTCAACCCATGAGTTCTGAAACCACACATTTAATAACCACTTCCTGATGTGCATGAGTTGCTGGGTCAAATAAAGAACAGTGGACAGAGATAAGGCAGCAAATGTGCCTCAGGGCTGATGACCTGGGTAGGAAGAGCAGCAGCAGGAAGACTCAGCCTCACATAGGAGCAGAGTGGAGGAGGGTAGTTTGGGGACACGGAGAATACATGCATTTGCATGGACCAGCAGGGCCGTGAGTGTTGGGAAGGAGACTTAGGACCTGCTATGAAAAGCCGTGGTCCGAATGACCTGCCCGAAGCCATGTTTAAAGGGAAATCACTCCTTTCTTCTCTGCCATGTGGTATGTGTGTCCCCCAACTGGAGGGCCTGGTTGGAATCCAATGCCACCTCACATTCTTCTCTTACTCCCTCGTGTGTGCATAGTTCTGCTTCCCCAAGGTGCCGGGGCTGACCAGAAGACCCTGAGCGACGGATGAGCAGATTACTCCAACACAGGTTTCTGCGAAAGAGAGGCTAAAGAAGTAAAAGCAGTCCTGTTCGCCTGCCTCGTTGGCTTTTTATTGTAACAACAGCTTGAACTCAAATTAACCTCTAGATACAATCAGACGGTAAGTATCCTTGAGAAAGTATATGCTTCTACAAGGTGGGGTCTTTAAAGACTAAACATAGAGATTCTAGCAAAACACCCGGGGGATCGGACTTGTTTGGAAAAGTCAAGGCAGGGGCTGCCGCCTTCAGCAAGGTCCCCCCTGAGGCCCCGACCTTTCGGAGAATCCTCCTCACAGACATTCCAACCAAGTCCCATGCTTCCCCACACCAAGGGAGAACGGTACATTCCTTAGGGGCAAGGTTGATCTCTCTTGAATATCTCATGAGTTCCAGGACAGTAGTAGGCACAGAGTAGGTGCTCAATGCTTACTTGAAAAAAAAAAATTAATTAGATTCTGCCAAATCCACTTCCTCTTCCTTCATGTATTTTCTGAGGGAAAATGAAGCAAGAATCCTAATTCCTAATGAAAGCCCTTGGGGAAAATTAGACTCAGTTTGGTTAGAGCTATAGGCTTTCCCTGACCAGAAAAAAAAAGAAAACAAAAACTAACTCTGTAGATCCCAGGAAATTTATAAAGCCTAAATTTGCTTTGTCTCTCTCTCTTTTAAATTCAATTATTGTTCTCCTGACTCTAAACTAATCATCACAAAGTTACTTTCAGGAAGAAACGAAGAATAACTTTCTCTTCCTTGAATTACTTTTTAGTTAACTTCTTAGAGCTTTTAATCATCCAAGAAAGCCAGTTCAATATGTAGCAGAAAGTCACTCAAGACTGTCATCTAAAAAATGCTTGGAGGATCCTAGGTCCCAGAATAAGGCTCTTTGTAAACTGAGAGTCAGTATCAGAGACAGACAAACTGCAACAGCTAACAGTGAAGTGTAGTTTGGAAAGGGTATTAACAAAGGGTAAATGTTTACATTTCTTTTTCAATTTTTCCTAATCTATAAAAATAAAAGGGTAATATGCTAATTAGTCTGGACGTCTTTCAGATGAAGCTGGGGTGGAGGGAAACCAGCCCAGGTCCCTGGTGCCTGTGGGTGGCCCGAGGGAAGCCCAGATCCTAGGTGCCGGAGGGAAGCCGGTGCCAGCAGCCTGGGGAAGAAAGACCTACTCTTGCATGAATTTTTGTATACCGGGCCTCTAGTGTTGCATATAATGCAGAATTGGAGCTTGGCTACTATTTCTGCTGTCCTTTTCATTTTTGTTTTGACAGAGAGAAAAGCTCAAATGATAGGTTCTAAGATAAGTCCATTTTCTTCCAGTGACTCGAGTGGACTAAGATTAACCTTTCCTCCTGTGCAACCTAAATTGCAGGAACATTGTGTTAGATTATCTACCTTAGTACAATTGCTCTTGCTAAACTACGCCATGGAGTAACCATGCTACTTCCTCCACTTTTGTAGGGAGGCCGGAGGTTGTTAAATGTAATTTCCAGTTCCTAGCCTCAGCACTAACACCATGCCCTCACTACTCTCAAGAAAGAATATCTTGCCTGGCCGGGTTGGCTCAGTGGTTGAGCATCGACCTATGAGCCAGGAGGTCAAGGTTTGATTCCCAATCAGGGTACATGCCTGGGTTGCAGGCTGGATCCCCAGTGTGGGACGTGCAGGAGGAGGCTGAGCAATTTTCTGAGGGAAAATGAAGCAAGAATCCTAATTCCTAATGAAAGCCCTTGGGGAAAATTAGACTCAGTTTGGTTAGAGCTATAGGCTTTCCCTGACCAGAAAAAAAAAGAAAACAAAAACTAACTCTGTAGATCCCAGGAGGAGGTTCTCTCTCATCATGGATGTTTCTATCTCTCTCTCCCTCTCCCTTCCTCTCTGAAATCAATAAAAATATATTTTAAAAAATATTTTAAAAAGGAAAGAATACTTTCTGTTTTTCAAATTATATAACCCTCACCAATTCTGATCTTCCTCCACAGAGAGTAAATACCCATCCCAACAGCTCTGGTCCCCCCCCCCCCCCCCCCCCCCCGCCAGAGTCACTATGCTATAAGCTAATGAGCAGTCTCATCATTAAGAATTCTGGCAGGTTAAAAAGAGAAGTTTGGAGAGAAAACCAGTAGAATGAGGCTCCCATGGCAGAGATTAGGCAAAACAACAAAAACATCTCTTTATTCTTACCTTCTAAGACTTTATATAGGCTGTTTTAGTCCACAGTGAACATTATTCTCATACTAGAGGCCCAGTGCACAAAAATTTGTGCACTCGGAGGGGGGGGTCCCTGAGCCCAGCCTGTGCCCTCTCACAATCTGGGACTCCTCGGGGGATGTCCACCTGCTGGCTTAGGCCCACTCCCTAGGGGATTGGGCCTAAGCTGGCAGTCAGACATCCCTCTGGCAGCCCAGGAGCCCTCGGGGGATGTCCACTTGCCGTTGGACATCCTTAGTGCTGCTGAGGAGGTAGGAGAGGTTCTCGCCATCACTGCTGTGCTGGCAGCCATCAGCCTGGCTTGTGGCTGAGCAGAGCTCCCCCTGTGGGAGCACACTGACCACCAGGGGGGCAGCTCCTGCATTGAGCATCTGCCCCCTGGTGGTCAGTGTGAGTCATAGTGACCAGTCATTCCAAGTCATTCTGCTGTTAGGGTCAATTTGCATATTACCCTTTTATTATATAGGATAGAGGCCTGGTGCATGGGTGGGGGCCGGCTGGTTTGCCCTGAAGGGTGTCCCGGATCAGGATGGGGGTCCCGCTGGGGTGCCTGGCCAGCCTGGGTGAGGGGCTGATGGCTGTTTGCAAGCTGGCCAAGCCCCCCAGTGGGGACCCTCACCCCATGGGGGTGTGGCCAGCCTGGGTGAGGGGCTGAGGGCCTTTTCAGGCTGCCCACAGCCCCTTCAGGGTGGGGGTCCCCACTGGGATGCCTGGCCAGCCTGGGTGAGGGGCTTAGAGCTGTTTGCAGGCTGGCCACGGCAGCGGGCTGGAAGCAGGTATCTGGGATTTATTTATCTTCTATAATTGAAACTTTGTAACCTTGAGCGGAGCTCAGGTCCAGCAGGGCAGGCAGGAAGCTTGACTTCCTCCATTGCCGGGGGCAACCCAAGCCTCCTGCTCACTCCAGCTCTGTGGCCACCACCATCTTAGTTGGGTTAACTTGCATGTTCGCTCCTGATTGGCTGGTGGGTGTGGCTTGTGGGTGTGGGGGGTACGGTCAATTTGCATGTTTCTCTTTTATTAGATTAGATATAGAATGACACCTATGTAAGTATTTTGGTAATAAGTTAGCTATTTACTTAACAGTGTGTATTGTGTTGTAATAATTATTACTGGTCTGAACGACCATGCATAAAATACACAGAACATGAACCTCTCCTCTTATTCTCCAGGCATACTGTGTTGAACGAAGAGAGCTTGGGTTCTAAAATAAGACTGATCTGCTTTATTTATTTTTTTAACTTTCTACTTTGAAGTAACTGTAGATTCACATTAAGTTGTAAGAAATGATATAGAGATTCCTTCTATACCCTTTACCCACTTTCCTCAATGATAGCATCTTGTATAACTAGTACACTATCACCAGGCAATTGACATTAATGCAATCCTAGGGCCTTATTCAAACATCGCCAGTTTTACATGCACTGGTTTGTTTGTGTTCTTAGTTCCATGCAATTTTATCCTATATGTGATCTGCTTTTGAATCCCAGCTCTGCCAAGTACTAGTTGTGTGACGCTGAGCAAGGTCCTTACCATCTCAGTATTCTCAGCTGCAAAATGGGTATAATAATGTCTGCCTCCTGAAGGTGGGGCAAGGATTAGGGAAAGGCATTCCGGTTGCGTTTCCAGCACACTGGATTCTCAAATGCTAGTTTCCTTCCTGTCTGTCCCTAGTTCTCTCTGTAGCAAGCGGGTTGTCTCCAGTTTCTTGTTGAAACAACCAGACTTGTGGGTCAGTAAATCAGGCAGCTTCCTTCTTCAAGGGCAACACTTTTAACCTTGCAGCTCAAAGAGAGAGCCTTGGGGATTGCCCCAGCCCACAGCGGCCATCGATCTAGGCCTGGCCTTGGAATTTGTTTGCATCCAGATCAGAAGTGTAGGGATGGGGGGGACTAGGGGACGGGTGCAGGGAAATAGGTGGTAAATACGGAGCAATCCTTGGCGGGAAAACAACCAACTCCAAGGAGTCGCCATCCGTGTGGTTAGTGACGGAACAGGTGGGAGTCTATGAGAACGCGGGGGCCAGGTGCGGGAGCCAGTCCAGATCTGGTCGGAGAGTGGCACTCGCTGTAAAGGGTGCTCTTCCCCCCCTGGACCTTTCCTCCGAGAACCGCCAACGGGCGCTCCCGCGCTGACAAACCCGGGGCTGCCCGAGGGCAAGAGGCGCCTAAATCCTCACCCAGAAGTAAGTACCGCTGGCTGGAGGCGGGCCTTTCCTCCACACCCAGAAGTGGCCGCGGTGTCGGGGCGCAGCTGGGGGTGTGAGGGCGCGTTTGCAAGGCCAAGGAAGCGAGCGGCCAGGGGGTCGAGCGGTGGACGCGCCAGTCGCTGTCCCGCGGCGACCTCGGGGCTCTGGTCTCCTCCGTCTGCACCCCCTTGAGCCCAGGCCACTCCAAGTTCAAATCTCCAAGCGACCGCCCCCGCCCCCCAGCGTCACGCGGCAGCCAAGACCGGACCGGGCTCCTCGGGGCTCGGTCGACCCGAGCAGTTGGGACCGGGGTGGGCGGGGGGCAGTCCGGGTCCAGGTGGGGGAGACAGACCCCGCCGCCACTAGGCGCTCCTCCCTCCGCCGCCCCAGCAGCGCGGGCCGAGGAGGAGGAGCCGCGCCCGGGCCAGCACCGCCCCGGCTCCTCCTCTCAGCGCTCGCCCGGCCCTTCCTACCGGCGCCCAAAGCTCCGGGTGGCCGCGGCCGAGCCGGGAGCCGAGCGCGCTGGGCGCGGCCGTCCCGCTGCCGCTGCTGGCGCGTGAGAGCCTGAGTGCACCCGCGGCCATGGTCCCCGCGGCGGCTACCGGCGCCTGAGCCCCGAACGCGGTAAGCGAGGAGCCCGCTTCCGGGACCCCCGTCTGCGGCCTGGGGGTGCTCGGAGGCCTCGCGCTGCCCCCGCGCCGTCGGGGGGCCCTGCGCGCCCCGGGCGCACCAGGCACCGGGACTGGCTGGGGCTTCCCCTCCGGGGCCCGGGGCCAGGGCGGCAGCTGTCCCCGCGGGCCGGGTGCATGGAGCAGCCGCGGGGAAGCGAGTGGCCTGGAGGCCAGCCCTGCCCGGACGCTCCCGGGGCCCGGCGGGGAGGGGGCGGCTTCGGAGGCGGGAGGAGGGGCGGGTGGTGGAGGCGCGGGCGGGGGCGGGCCGGGGGTGGGGACGGCGCGCGCCGCAGCCCCCAGGAGCCGCACTTTTGTGAAAGCTGGGTCCTTACATATGGAAATGACGGTCGCGCGGGTTCCCGGTCGCGTCCTTTTGAAGGACGCCCGTCCCGGACCTCAGCGCCGCCTGCGAAGCATTGTCCCGCTTCTTGCGCCCTAACAAAGCGCCCGCCTTGGCTTTGCAGGGCACCGGAGGCGGGCGGCCGGCTGTGCGGGCGCGACGGAGTGGCCGACAGAAGGTAGGCGAGGACGCCGGGGCAGGGAGCGTGCGGTCTGGCAATACAATGGGGTCTCTGAGGTTTCTTGGGGCGGCGATGGACAGGCGGGTTGGGGACGCATCTCCATCGCAGGTTGCCAGGCACCTGGCCTCCGCGTCCGCCCGGCGGCGCAGCGGGTCTGGCACCTCCTCCACCGCGGTGCCCCGTCCCGCAGCCGCCAGCTGAAAGCGGCTACTATGTGTTGGTCCAGGAGTGGACCTGAGTCCCGGAGGGAGCAGAAAGGGTGGTTTGTTCTGCTGCCGTGTGCCACCCAGGCAGTCCTGTGGTTGAGCGACTGAAGGGAGCCCTGTCGGGAGAAGCCCGAGGTGTTACCTGGGCTGTCTTGAGTTTCGGAGAGCTACCCTTAACGTGTGATTTTTCCCAGGGATGTGGGATCGATACCTATAGAAAGACTTTCCCAGGGCAATTACCACTAAGAAAGGGAAAAAGAACAAAATGATACTCTGTTGCCTGGAAGCCTTGCTCGCCAGAGCAGCAGCAGCAAGTGTGGAGTTTTGCGGGAGCAGCGTCCAGGGTCCCGGAGCTGGGCTTCTGCAGCCACCAGACCGGCCCCTGACAAAAGGACAAAGCTGGTGGGAACAGTTGCCTGCTGGGAGCTCTTTCTGTGAAGTTGAAAGCGATAGAGATAGGAAGAGGCGATTTCCTAGCCCCAACCCTGCCAGTTAAATGGGGGCTGGAAAGATGGTTCTTCCATGTACCCGGTGTCTAGACAGCTAAGCTATTAGATCTTCTGCTGTCTTTACTTCACGGGAGCAGATCCCCTCCTGGTGTTGACGAATTCCCGAGATGGGCTTGCCATACAACTCAACTCCTGAATTTATGGAACGAAATCAGATGGCATGGTTGTCTTTTGTGAGTGAGGTGGTAGCTGTTTAGGGTTAGCATCCTAACAAAGTCCACTGTGGCTCATGGGCTAAGCTCCAGAGACCCTCTAAGGTCAAAATAAATGTGTATGTCTACTTCTTTCCTGAGGCTTAGCATTCTGCAAGGAAATGTTTTGTTTGGGGTTTGTTTGTTGTTGTTGTTTCAGTGTCAGCTTCATTTTATCTTGATCTTCTCTAGTGGCTAGCACATTGGTGGCTGACCTAGAATATTGGCAGATCTTGTTTGGCGTGGAGGGGGTTGTGAAAATTCCCCTCCTGTGTGTAAAAGTACCTTACAGGCTGACTGCAAAACCAGTTTCCTATGGTCTCCTCAGCTGTTGTCAGTGTCCTTAGGGAGGTCAAGGGAACTGCTGGGGAGTTTCTTGGCAGATTTTTTTACTTTCACCTATTCTCTGGTGAGTGTTTAGACTGCAGGGGTTCTCAACCTGTGGGTCGCGACCCCTTTGGGGGTGGAACGACCCTTTCACAGGGGTCGCCTAAGGCCATTGGAAAACACGTATATAATTACATATTGTTTTTGTGATTAATCACTATGCTTTAATTATGTTCAATTTGTAACAATGAAAATACATCCTGCATATCAGATATTTATATTACGATTCATAACAGTAGAAAAAATACAGTTATGAAGTAGCAACGAAAATAATTTTATGGTTGGGGGTCACCACAACATGAGGAACTGTATTAAAGGGTCGCGGCATTAGGAAGGTTGAGAACCACTGGTTTAGAGGAAAGCATGTCGAGCCAGGCATAGGTAAAGGGTAGGACTTATAGATGTTTCAGATGGGTTAAACATGGGGCAAAGGCAGGAAAAGGCTTTACAGGGGACAACGGGAAGGAAGCCATCACAGGCACTGTCTTTGCATTAAAATGTCATGGATCAGTCATTTTAATAGGCACTTACTCAGAATGGCATGGGTGTCTTTTTTCTTGGTCTCTTCCACCCACCCCACCCCCCACCTCCCTTTTAAGTATGTGATGATCCTTAATACCAGAAGATATTAACTGCCACGGAGGGGGACAAAGGAGCTCCAATGAATTCTGAACAGCCCATCTTAACTTAATAGGCAACATTCTTATCATACGTTAAGTGTTGTTCAAATAAATTGTTTTAAATGTCACTGCAAATGGCCTTCTAAACTAACATTTCAGCCATCTTGATGCTTCCACTTTATGTTGATAATGAAAATACATTTTTATCAGGCTAACCTTGGTAAAGGGTTGGCAAGTTTAACCAGAGCATTTTTGAGGCATTCAAACAGCCTGAAGTCTTTTCAGGAGGTTTATTTTTGTAGATGCCAATTCATTTGTAGGCCAGTAAATTATGTGGTTTGAATTCTGGCTATTGAATGTACATTTGTTGGGCAGGGGCTTGTGAAAAGACATACTGAAGCTTGCAAAAGAGTTTTTTTTTTCCTAATTACAAATAAAATAGAATTTTAAAAAGATGATGGGTATATGCAAGTGAGCAACTTTGAAATTAGGAGGATGTTTCTGTATTGCCACTTATAGCAGAAATTAACCGTTTATTCCAGCTTTTGGATGGGAAAATTACAATATTCCTGTCCTAATGCTCACTTAAAAAAACAAAGTTGAGAAAACCTATTGTTTATAGATGTAAAAAGTGAAGCTCTTCATGTTGACCCCAACGAACTGTTCTCACACCTGCAGGCATTTTACATTCATGTGAGTTAATATGGATCAAGAAGTGAAAGTTGTTACCAGCAGTCTCTTTTAAGAAAGTGACAAACAGGCCACAGTTTTTTGATTCTGTAGTCTTACTTGGTAGCTGATTACAGGTTATTGACCCTACAGTGTGCTAGGCTCATGATTTTATTCCTACCGCTATCCTGAGATAACAATTTGATTGGGTAATCCACCTTGCTATTAGAGTTAGCAAAAGCTTGGCTTTGCTACATCATTCAGGATAGTAAAATACTAAGTTTATTTATGCTTTAGAATAAATACTAGTAGGATACCCTTAGCAAAATTAAATTTTATAGTGTAGTTAGCAAAGGTGGTTATTCTTTCTAACTTAATCTGGCTTTTTTGTGTGTGCGGTGGCATTTAAGCTTTTGTGTTATATTTTTATACGATGATTTTATTCTTGGTGACACTCTCTGTGCTGTTGGTATCCAGCTAGAAATGAGGTGCTGTCTGAGCAGAGAGGGGCCTATCTCACAGTAATTAGTGTGAGCCGCAGTTTTGGGCATAAATATTCCATATAACTACGTAAATGGGGACAATTGCTTTTTCTGTTAAGCTTTTGCTAAACTTAAATTTAGTCTCGTCCCTATTTCATTTTATATTGAAATTAGTCCAAAAGAGCAAGACTGGAAATCTTTGCAGCAAATTAAAGTGCAGAAAAGAGAGAAGAAAAGGAAACGTTTTCATTGTGAGGCTCTGATTTGCCAAAGGGTGAAAGCTTGTTTATCGTTGTAGTTATAAAGTAACTAAATTAGTCACTTGGTGGTCACTGTCTGGTCTGTGGGCCCCCAACAGCTATGTCTGATCACAGACCCAAAGCATCTATTATAGTAATACCCAGCGAAAGCGGCTGAGCCAAGGGGGACATGCAGACATTCCTCGTAGCTGTTCAGCTGCTGGACCATCTGGAGGGGAAATAAAAGGCCTGGGCTAGGGGCTCTGGCATTATGCTCATTTATTACTTGGCCTTCCCTTGCCAGGCTTTGTCCCCCTTTCACTCCTTCTGGCCCAGAACAGACGTCCCCTTTGGCCGGGGTGCCATTCTTACAAGCTCCTTTCTGTATCTTGGATGCTGGAAAGTTCACAAGTTCACGCACTCACTTCATGCTGGCCTGATGATGGGACTTCATCATTCCAGCTGCATCCACACCTATGTCCCTCCCAGCCCCACTTGGCACTGTGATTTCATCAGCCAGGGTTGCCGAGTAGAGCACAATAACACAGCTCTGAAATGGACATCCCTGTCAGGGTCTGCGCATTTTGGCAGCCTTGTTTTGAGTTATTTGGAAGGAAAATGCTCCGAATAGTTCTCATTATGGGTGGTAAATGTTGTGATTAATGGCTCTGTGCATCTGCCTCTTATTTAGCCGTCCCCAGCTAGAACTTCAAAATATTGCCCACGCCGCCCTTTTACTCCCAGGAGTGGTAAAGGCTTCTGACAATTCAGTCGGGAAGGTAGATGGTTGGAGGGAGGCCCAGGTTGGTGGCAGGCCTTTTAAAACTGGAAATGTTCTTTGCCATTTGGAAAAAGATTTATGACTCCAGACCCAACCCTCTTCATCTCTGAGTAAGATTCCCTCGTTGGTGGGTGTCAGGCTTTGACTCTGGGAAGCACCGAGTTTGCACAGATGAGACATATTTGAGTGTTTGGGGGAATTAATTTAACGGCTCTCAATCCCTGGACTTTGCCCATTATGGAAGAGATGGGATTCTTCATGATCCTTTTTACATACAAATTTATGTCTTCCTGGCGCTAAATCCCAAAGCTGCTTTAGTAAAAAGAGATTGCTTTTTCTGTGTCTCCCTAATGCCTGGGAGGCTATAATTATTCAATAAATGGCTCGAAGGTGCTAGGGAGGCAGGAACCCACCATTCCCCATTCCAACCTGGAGGAGCCTGTGGCCATCAGGTGTTCCACGGTGGTTTCTAGTACCTGGTACAGTTTGGCTGGTTAACACATAACGGCCGAGGTAAGTGGCTTGTTGATGGTATCATTGTAGTGGCCCGATTCATGAGTTATTACGTGTCGGTTGGAGAGGCAGTAGAGTTTAGAGTCAGACCAGGCTTCCAATCCTGGCTCCACACCCATGTTAGTGTTGAATTCTTGGACAAGTTCTGTACTTTTGCCATCCCCCAATTTCTGCATCTTAAGTGGGAAGGTGAAATCTATCGAAAGCAGTGGTTCTCAACCTTCTGGCCCTTTAAATACAGTTCCTCATGTTGTGACCCAACCATAAAATTATTTTCGTTGCTAACTTCATAACTGTAATGTTGCTACTGTTATGAATCGTCATGTAAATATCTGATATGCAGGATGGTCTTAGGCGGCCCCTGTGAAAGGGTCGTTTGACCGCCAAAGGGGTCGCAACCCACAGGTTGAGAACCGCTGATCTAAAGTATTAGGAAGATTCAATGAGATCATATAGGTAAAGCACTCTGCATAGGCCAGACTTACAGTAAATGCTCAGGAATTTTTTAAAAAATTGTTTCTGCTGAACTCCCAACTATATTTCAGCCTTTCTGCTTTTGCTTCACATGAAGTTTATCTACAATCTGCCTTTAAGTATTGAGGCAAAAGGGAACATTACTTGCTACCATTATTGTAATATAGCATTTAGTAATTAGTAATATAGCATTTTAGTATACATCACATGTACGCTGCCCATTCTTGCTCTCTGGATTCTGGCATCCACAGCTCCTGCTCTGCGTCTGTTAAGGCAGGTCTGTGGCTGATGGGCCTGTGTGAGTTACCTCTCTTCAGTTGAACCCCGTCTTTGTAAGTCACAGGTATTTTCTTGGTGGTTTTCTCAGTGGGATTTGCTACTCTCAATTGCTTACCATATTGAACCCTCAGGACACCCCTTCCAGATGGGTATTGTCCTTCCCATTCTATAAACGAGGGGACAGGGAAGGTATCTTAGACAGACTGTCCCCCAAAGCCACATTCCATCACCAACACATGCAGCTCGAGTGTGAGAATCCACTGGCTCACTTACTCCTTGAACCAAACTTCAGGCGGGCGACTCTGTGACACAGTCTGACAGTGGGTGCTGGCTTTCTACTTCTGTGGCTACGTCTGGGACTGAAAATGCCTTTGAAAAAGGGTTGGATTGGGGTGGGGGATGGAGGAGTAGAGGTGTGTTTGCGGAAGAAATCGGCATTTCAAACTCTTTGTGTGCTCATTTATTTCTGTAGCTCTCATTCAGGTTAAGCTTCCACTTAAGAAATCTCCATATACCCAGTCAGTCCGTGTTTACACTGCGTCCTGGCGTGAGGGTCACACTGTACCGTGCGTTTGGGGGACACTGTAAAAGAAACAGAAGTTGTGGACCTTCCCCTTAAAGAAATTTCTGGCAAGTGGGGAGAACAAAATTCTTGCACATGAAATTACTGATGAACATTTGGGGAATAATATCAACCAGTAAACATGCATTCTGTGCCAGAAGAGTACTGACAACTTGTCACCATATGTAACGGTCTTTTGGATGTTTCCTTACATACGATCCTTTGTTCTACAGGGCTAGGGCTGTTTTCCCCCTGAAGTCAAAAGAATGTTCTAATTAAGCATGGTGTCTTGGGAAGGAAAGAGATGAAATACAGAGATAACAAACAAACAAACAAAAAAACAAAAAAAAGAGAAAGGTACTGTAAAATGAAAGTTTTATCTAGCAAAAATCCAGTGACCTCCCAAAGAGCAGGGCATGATAGTCTATCCAATTCAAAGCCATGCATCAGATCTGGACTCCTCAGTACATTGTGAGTTTTATGGCCCTCTTTCATGGGTTTAGATGGACAAGTCCCCAACCCTTAAAAATAGTTCTTAAAAGAGGAAGTGTTAGAATTCTTTCCCTTTGGGGTTTTTTTTAATATGCAAAATCAAGCAAAAGCAGAATAGTCTGGCATTTATGAAGTTGGTCAGATTACAGCCCAAGGGACAGTTACACTCAGAGAGCGAGTCCCAGAGCTATGGCAACCCTGAAAACCCCAGAGCACCTTGGGGATTCTCAGCTGATCTTAGCTGACAATTAACTGGCAGACTCTACGTGGATCTCATTAGCCAAGCCTCGCCTCTTCTAAATTCCCAACTTTTGTGGCTTTGCTTAACACCTTGGTGTTTCTTTTCTGTTGCTTTGATGTTTATATAGCACTCTCCACTTCTTTTGAAAACATTTACATGGTGATTAGTTAACCCAACAGACCAACTCCGGGAAGGTAGCCAGAACCAGCAGCACCTTAGTAATAGAAAGACTGATAATTAGGAGAGACCTTCTGATACCAGGAGCCTGGACCAGAAGGGCGCCACTCCACGTTAATGAGCGGCCCCAGTAAAGATTGAGCTAGCTAGGAGCTACGGGGCAGAGCTGGCTGGCATCCGTCTTCCGAGCCCACCTGATTCTGCTGAAGATCGGGGCTCTGTTTTACCTTGTCATGTTTTGTACAGTTGTCTGTGGAAAGAAAGCCACACAGCCTAGACTGCAGTGGTTCTCAACCTTCCTAATGCTGCGACCCTTTAATACAGTTCCTCATGTTGTGGTGACCCCCAATTTCATTGTTACAAATTGAACATAATTAAAGCATAGTGATTAATCACAAAACAATATGTAATTATATATGTTTTTTCCAATGGTCTTAGGCGAACCCTGTGAAAGGGTCGTTTGACCCCCAAAGGGTCGCGACCCACAGGTTGAGAACCGCTGGCCTAGAGCATCATTGATTTGTAGGGAAGGCCCTCTTATTTTCAATTCTGGCCGTGTTCAACATCTCAACTCACACACTTCCATGTTGTAATGATCTGCTCCATGGAACATCACCTCTAAGCCAGAGTTTTCTGACCCAGGGCTGGTTTTATTTAAAAGTGCTGCTTTTCAAAGTAGGATGGTGTTTGCAGGGGGAGGGGGAAGGGAGAGTTGCTGTGCTGTGGGTATAGAGCTTGTCACATAAGATGAAAAGGATCTAGAGATCTTCTGCACAACAATGTGCATATAGTGAACAATACTACTGCACACTTAGTAGGCTGGATTCCATGTTATGTGGCTTTTATCACAATACAAGTTATATTACAAGGTAAAGAAACCTTTTTTTTAAAGGTGCTGCTTTTTATAGTCCAGGGCTGGTTCTGAGAGCCTTGTTTCAGAGAGCTGAGGTCATCGTCTCAAGGGTATATGTCGTGTGTGGCTTCCATTGCGTCATGGTGAAGGTACCTCCAGATGTGCAGGTGCCAGACTTTGATTGGAAGGCCCAACACATTATACATGAACTATTGTGCAAGCAAAAAAACAGATAGCATTTTTCAAGTATGATGTACCTCGTATTTTATGATGTATAATTTTAGTAAAAATGGTTGTGAGGGTTATAGATGACTCCGTGTTTTTACTGATCTCATGGAAAGTGGGAAAACAGAAGGCCTGGGGCTGGGGTGGATCAGAGAGATGCAAGGCAGAGTAACCAGGTGAACAGAGCGGCGATGGCCTAGATGCTAGAGGTCCCCTGAGATCCTGTAGGATTCATATGATCTGTGGCTCCTTCGAACCTCACCGTCTGAAAGGTTGGAGTATTGTTTTCTCCGCTCTCTAGGCAACTAAGCATCACCTAAACCTCCCTGGGACTGAAGCCAGCTCCAGGGAATGCTCTTCCTGTCACACCCCATGTAATTGCACCAATGGTTAATTGAGTTGCTTTTTGAGGAACTCTTGGAAAAGGCATTTGGTCCCATGTAAACAAGGAGGTGGTTTTGTATCAGACGTGCTCATCCAGTGCTTCCTGCTGCAACCATTTGGTCTCATTGCAACGGGGGCATCTAGGCTGCAGGAGGAGAAACTAAACAGCAGCTCATCCAGCCAGCGGACTGCAACATCTGGACAGGTCGGCTAGAGCGTGCGGACTTGCATGGAAGCTCTGGCCCTGTGGTCTTTTGACACCAACAGTTAGTTTATTTGAAAGGACTGGGTGTCAGAAGTAACCTTTCACTGTCTGTAAGTGCTGGGCCAGATGAACTGATAGAGAATCGCTCTCAGTCTTGAGTTTGAGAGACTGGCTGCCCGCCTGAGGGGGTGCCCTTCTGCCTACAAGACTTCCTCATTCGGGTAACGTTAGCCTGTGGTGACCGGACCTCGACCTCATGGGTGTGCCCTGTGGGAGTGTGTGAGACTGGTCAGGGCTGGGTCCCGGAGAGACCCGTGCGCTCGCTGGTGGGTGTGAGTATTCCCTCTCCTCCTGGCTCTCACCAAGGTCCCGTTTGACCTGCACGAGGGGACCAGGGCGGGCAGAGGATAGGGATAGTGTTGCCGAGGTGTGGCAGTGGCAGGATTCCAGGGGCTGCCACAACCTGACCTTGTCTCTGTCCCACACAGGTGAGCGCTGTGGGCTATGGGATGGATGAGGTGCAGCAGGACCAGCATGAGGCCCGACTCAAGGAGCTGTTTGACAGTTTTGACACGATGGGCACTGGGTCCCTGGGACAGGAGGAACTCACCGACCTTTGCCACATGTTGAGCTTGGAGGAGGTGGCCCCGGTGCTGCAAGAGACGCTGCTTCAGGACAACCTCTTGGGCAGGGTAAGGCCTGGGGAAGAGCGCCGGGTGGAAGTGGGTGCGGTTTCTCCCGGGGGCGGGGGGGCGCTGAGGGAGGGGGTCAAACCACACCTATCGCAACTTGTTTCTAACATCCTGGCTGTGTGCGCCCTCCGCTCTTAACCTGAGACACAGACCAAATGTAAAGGGAGTGAGGCACCGTGCAGTTTGCTCAGGAGCTGAGGGCTTGCTGTGATTTGCGCCCTGGAAAGGTGTGCCCTGAGCATCTTAGATAAAAGAGAGAAAAAGAGGTAACAAGAGGATGTTTTCTAATCTTTTTCTTGTTACTCGTGGATCATTGTATGGACTCCACTTTCACCACTGAGACAGCAGGGAGGTGACGGATTTCCAGGGAAGAGAATGGGAGTGTAGTAAGGAGGCTCCATTCACAGGAAAGCAGATTGCCGTTAACGAATTTTACTCCCGATAAAGCTCTTTCTTCTGTGGATTGTTTCTGGGGTGAAGTATTAATTAAACTCTTCACCCAGGAAATAAGACAGGAGGATAAGTAAATACAGTGCAGGCTCATTTAAAACCCAGCACGACTCGCTTCCAGCAGGGCTGTGTGTGTGCTGCTGTTAGCTTCTGCGTTTGACGACAAATAGTCATGTTCTCCCTGTAGATCAAGTCATGGAGATCTTTTCTCCCCTCTTGCTGTTAGTGGGAAGGATGCTTGATCCGTCACGACCTAATATTGCCTTCCCTTCTCATAAATATAATTAAGAGCATCATGTGTATGGCTTTGGGTTGAGCCTTGCTGTTGATTTTTTTGAATGAATGAGAGGAGAAAATGGGCAATGCTTTTCAGCTCTGCTGCTGTTATTGCCGTCACTTTGTAGACAGGAGTTTCTAACATTGTGGTATACATTGAGGAAGCAGTTGGGGATCTCAACTTTATTCCAGTGACTGAGCTTCCTTGTCTTCGCTTCATTTTCATTGTGTCTTAGCTGACAGGTTGGGTAAGGGACCTCAGACACGGTAGGATGCACTGGCTCTCTGTAACGTGAGACAGACAGGAGAAACAACCACCCTGAAATGAATGCCAAAGGGTGGTATTCTCAGGGGCTGGCACCATGAACGTGGTGTTTAACAGGGCTCAGACTTGAAGAAAAAAAAACAAAACTAAGTTTTTGCAAAACTGGGATCATTCTTGGTCACTTTAGAGGCGTTAGCTACTTGTGAATACATGTGGTACCCCCAAAATGCTAAAAATTTTGCTTTGAAAACAGTAGAAATGGGGAATTTGAGGATTAAACCATTTGCTCCTCATCATGTAATGTACATAAGAGCTTTTTAGTTCTGCGTCACTCCCAGGCACTTTGGGGAGCCAAAAGAGTAGCGTTTCCACTGTGGGCCGTGGAGATCTCAGGCTTGTTAGTGTCTAAGAAATAGTATAAAAGCGAGGATCTTATTAAAGTCCAAGAAGACAACAGAACTTCAGGTTTCCTTGAGCGATGTGTTGGAGGCAGTGTGACTGGGAGCCCTGCTGTACACAGATCACCCCTCGGCAGCAGGTGAGCAGTTTGCTGTCCAGATGTTGTACATCTTCGCCCTCATTTGGCGAACTGGAGCAGGGGAGCAGTTATCGATTGATTTGTTAACGACCTGACACCACCAGCCTGCTTTTCATGTCTGCTGTTTGCCTGTGAATAAGGAATACCTAAGTGGTCCGTAGCGTGATATTTACTTAGTGAGCCTGTGATAAAAGTTAAATAGATGTCTGCATATTGATTTCATGTGGGAGTTCCTGGTGATTGTCTTGAGAGCAGGGTTGCCATGAATTAATGCATGATGTTCAATTTGCATTTTTTATGAAATTGAATTATTCTTCTCAGATGATCGCATAAATGTGGCCATATGCTGTTAAGACACTATATGGTCTATAATTTTAAAATGTGGGGGAGAAATTCCTTAGAATTCACAGAAGCAATCCATGTGCTAGCACCTTCTTGGGTGTATTGAGTAGAGTCAGAAGTTGTAAAATTCTAAGTTTTTAATGTCAGCCGTATGTTTTCTCTTTAGATATTATTTATAGAAAACTTATAAGGGTTAGGAGTTTGGTTTAATAAAACAGGAGAAGGGAATAGAAGCATGGCAGATCTAAATATAGTCATCTGTTCATTAATTCAACAGAGATGTATTGTGCTGTATGTGTCCTGCATGTCAGGCATTCTGCTAGTCTTATGGGTGCAACTTACGTTTATTGTAAACTACAGTTTTCCATTAAATTGGCTTTTGGATGCATTAGTATCGATCAGTTTCCTGATTTTAATTTTATCTTTTAAATCTTAGCAAGTATAATTTTAAAATAAAATAAAATAAGTTTACCTTTATTGGAATTAGGCTCAATTAGTCATTTTTCCTTGAAAATAAATAAGATAAAAAGCACTGTCCTCCTCAACTAAGAACATGAATTTTGTCTATTATTTTATTTTAAAATCCATCTTAAATAATTCTTTGTTCTTTTTTTTTTAAAGCCTAATGTTTCTTTTGACAGTTGCTAAGGAAAGTAATTTAAATGGACTTGCCATTTTAATGAATTTTCCTAATAGAACATTTACCCCCAAATTATGTTTCCATTCATCTGTCTGATCTTGCTTTATAACTTGAAGCCATAGTCCCCCCGCACAGTGCTTATGCAGGGTGGGGCAAAAGTAGGTTTACAGTTGTGAGTACATGAAGCACAGTTTATTCCTGTATTATTATTCACTAGTTATTGTATTTTCCCTATGAACAGCTATAAACCTACTTTTGCCTCACCATGTATGTGTTTGAAAAGCCGAAAGATTGTGAATCACCAATTTGAAGGAAAGAGGACATTGCTGATAGGTGTTTCCTCCTAGTTTATCAGACGAGCTCCATTCATATCTTTGTCACAGTCAAGCAGTTGTCAGGTGGGTAAGACCCCAAAACAAGGGACTCCTCAAGACACGGAAGAATTTATAGTCGGGTCACATAATGTGAGTAGTACTGGGAACAAATACTACAAACGTTTTAAAAAGTGAACCACATTAGCTCTCTCTCCTTTTTTTTAATCTTTATTGTTGAGAGTATTACACATGTCCGCCAGTTGCCCCCCTCCACCTGGTTCCCACTCCACCCCAGGCCTTCACCACCCTGTTGTCTGTGTCCATAGGTAATACATATGTGCATATAAGATCTTTGGTTAATCTCTTCCCCGTCCCCCCTTTCTCTCTGATATTAGTCAGTCTGGTCCATGTTTCCATGCCTCTTTCTATTTTATTCATCAATTTATTTTGTTCATTAGATTTCTTGTTCATTGAACTAAGTTTTCATCCAAACCTCCGATGCCCATTGTAGGTGCTTCCTGGTTTTGTGTCTTTTAAATGAAGTGTTTCTATATGACTCTCTCTTTTATAGAAATCTGGACATAAATATGATCATTTACCTTGGTTTTTTTGAAGCCTTTAGTTATTTCCTGTTTTAAAAATGCATTTTCCTTTCATTATGGAATATACCAACTTGAGACAGAACAGCCCCCTGGGGTTCTGGTGAGTCTCCTTGCTATACTTTTGATATGAATTTGGACACTGAAGGGCCCATGCCCTGGGACCCTCTAGATTCAGAACAAGCTACCTGGAAGCAGAACTCATCATTGCTTCCGGAGAGTTCCATGGGTATGTAGACTTTGGTCATCAAAGGCATTTTGAAAATTTTTAGTATTAAAAGTTGATTCTTGTACAAATACAAAATTTAGCTCAGCTTTCCCACCTTTTATTTTAAAGTGCTTGGAGTTCTTTTATAAATGTCAAGGTTAATTTCACATGGAGGATTGCTTTTTTGTTGTTGTTTCCAATTTCATTAAAAGCTTTTTAAGATTTCTTTCTCTTATACACATTTTAACCATTTGAAAAATAAGTCAGAAATACAGAAGTACTTCCTGATTTTGAAAGAGAGAGAGAGAGAGAAAGAGAGAGAGAGAGAGAGAGAGAGAAACATTGGTTTGTTGTTCCACTTATTTGTGCATTCATTGGTTGCTTTTCTTGTATGTGCCCTGACTGGAGATTGAACCCGCAACCTTGGCGTATTGGGAAGATGCTCTAACCAGCTGAGCTACCTGGCCAGGGCCCAGAAGTACTTTCTGGCAGTGATTAGTTGGATTTATTCTCTGTGCAAAATTACGCTTGGTCATGTAGTGCCTATTTATAACCACCTCGTGTTCACGCTCCTGTTTCATGTTATTGATCTGAGGCTTTCTTGAATGCCTTGGCGGGAATGGTGGAAACATTTCTCACTGCAGCTCTTCAATGTCTGAAGCTTTGCTGTATCTTACTGTTTAACCACCATAGAGTAACCTGAAATAGTGAAGGGTATTTTCTGATTCCTAGGTTGGTCTTGTGACTGAGTATCTCTCCATCACTCTCTTCCTTTACAATAATCTCATCTGGGGTTGAATTAAACTCCTAAGGGCATGTGATTCCCGTTTATAGACAAAACGACATTCTGAGTCAGGGACTACAAGACTTGTCTCCATTCTGTATTAACACTTTCTTGTCAAATTCATTGCAGAATTACCTTTGGTTTCACATACTGTGAGAGTCTCTTAGAGGTATTTAGTCTGACAAAAGCCAGGGCATAGGGGAGAGCCGTTGGGAAGGAAGGCCTTGTGCTCTAAGCAAATGTTGAAAACAAGTACCAAGCAGCTTTTCTTTTCCACCTACTTTATTTCAGTAGTGATCATCTCTCTCATCAGAGAAGGTATGGCCAGGAATGCTCACTAAGTTTCCCACAATATCCCACTGACACTTTTATTTATTTTTTTTAAATATATTTTATTCATTTTTTTACAGAGAGGAAGGGAGAGGGATAGAGAGTTAGAAACATCGATCAGCTGCCTCCTGCACACCCCCAACTGGGGATGTGCCCGCAACTAAGGTACATGCCCTTGACCGGAATCGAACCTGGGACCTTTTCAGTCTGCAGGCCGACGCTCTATCCACTGAGCCAAACCGGTTAGGGCCCAC